TTAATCATAATGCATTAACTACAAAAACTACATTTTTAAGTTTTATCTTTAACTGTGGAAGCTGCTAATTGCTGCTGTAGTTTTGTTACTCTGAATTTAGACAGAATCACTTAATGCACAGCTGTTTTTGACAGCGGTTCGTCAGATGTTTTGTTCTGTCCGTTGCCTTATCACTGTCAATCATAGCAATGACTCGTGGCACAATGTATTGGATTCACTCGCTTAATTTTTTACACTCGCATTTGTCATTCTTGAAACTGTATACGTGGACGTTTGGTCCTCTTAGACAAACAAAACTTTTCTTTAAATTTGTGAATGGATTATGTAGAGAAACCAAGCAAAGGGCGTTCCACTTATAGCACAGTTGATTTTGACAGTTGACCGGAAATGACTGAGCTGGCTTATCGAAAACCAGGAAGTAACTGTGCACGTAGTCAATTGCTGGCCCTGTTTGAAATTTGTTCACTCCTTGTCATTTAGGTCTGCAGTGAGCGATTTCAGTATAAGTACCAACTGCGCTCACACATGAGCATCCACATCGGACACAAGCAGTTTATGTGTCAGTGGTGTGGGAAGGAGTTCAATATGAAACAGTATTTTGATGAGCACATGAAGACACACACAGGTGAGATGCTCGTACACATGTATAGCACTTTGAAACCTTTTATACAGCAAGTCTAAGAGGTCTGCTGTTTTTTTCCTAGGAGAGAAACCATATATATGTGAGATCTGTGGGAAGAGCTTCACAAGTCGTCCCAATATGAAGCGGCACCGGCGTACACACACGGGAGAGAAGCCTTACCCCTGCGAAGCATGCGGCCAGCGGTTCCGCTTCTCCAACATGCTGAAAGCTCACCGAGAGAAGTGTTCCCAGGTCAGGAACCCTCCACTGCTGCACTCCTCTGCTATAACCAATCAAACGGAAGCTGCTGCAAACCAAGAACTGCCGGTTGGGATGGAAGCACTGAGGGATATTAACCCACATCTGCATGGTGTAGTCTCTTTTCCATCATCTGTGCTCCACTCAGTGGACGGGGGTCCGTCACATTCTCAGCTGCGTTCCCTTACGCCGCTCTACTCCGCTGGAAGGACAGACTCCAGGAACCTGTAACTACTGCTCTGTATTATAATATTGTTTCTTTGTGATGCAGAGATACTTTATATGTAGCAAAGAGTCTGAGATTTCATGTTAGTCTTATTTTGTTTTCACATCATATTCTCTGATACTCATTCTAATATCCCTTCCGTTTCCATATCAAATGTTGACGGAGTCCTCCATGCTATGATAATCCCTAAATAGGCAAAAAGTATTAAGTAAAATACTAAAACTATTACCCAGATGTAGAACATTAAATGTAAGACATATATGCTTTTATGTACAGTATATTAACAGAATAATACATAGACAAAAGCATATTTGGTTTATATAACTTTGGGTTTGTTTTTATAGGTTTAGATGCTTTATTTTATGTCAAAGTTTGTCAAAAAGCACTATTCGTGTTTGGGGTGATGACCTGTGATATATATACGTATATGGATATATACAAGACAGTCTTGGTGGTGAAAATGTTCAGTTAGGAGATTCTGTTTCTGGCACTTTACTGGCTTGTTGGTGTAAGGGGTTTCATAAACATTTGTTTAGCCCTTACATCTTGTGATAGTTTTATCATTTCTGTTTGAAATTTGAATTTGAATATTTTTGTATTTGTTCAGATGCACCTTAAAAATCAAAGTGAATTGTTTCTCCAACTTTCTCTAAATTGTGAATGACTATCATTTGTATGTTGTCAACAGCTGGAAATTTGTGAGTCAAGCATACAGCTCATTTGTTTTGTTAAAAAATTCACACCCTTGAGGGTTTGTGTTTTTGGTGATGCTCAAATTCATGAATGTGTTTAGGCTGAACTTGTAGGTCATAAAAACCACAGCAGCCATTTAACAGGTGAATTAGTAGAGATTGTATTATATTATTAATGAAAAAAATCAGTTGTTCTCCACTATTTAGTGTTCATCCACTTCTCACAGTCTCATGCAGACTCTAATGTTTGATCTTCTGAATTAAAAATCCATTTTTTATTGTTTTTAACTGGTCATTTTTGCACTTGAAGACAGGAATCTTATAGTTTCAGATCTGTAAATGTTTTTACTGTTATGTTAATTTCTGTCTATGTAATTAAGAATATTTTGGTACATGCACAATATTCCAAAACCTGAGAGGTGTTCGGATCTCTTCATTCCAGAGTGTTTGTGTTCGCAGCGCTAGCTGTTTATTATTCATGATGAAAAAGTGACTCTGAAGCTCTATCTAGGACCCATCATGAAAGTCATGATGTCAAGCATTATCAACATGAAAAAAGATGGCATACGTAATATAAAGTCTTTGTATTGTTTCACCTTTACATTTTTATTTTCATGTGGCTTTGGAAGGTGTATGACAATATTTTTACCACATTTACCACAGACAATTGTGTTTTGTTGTTTGTGTTTTCATTTTAGTTTGGTCATTGTCTACAGTATATTAGGTTATTGTTCAGTCACATTCATTTTTTTTTTTTTTTGAATGTTAGAACATTGTACTTGGTCATAATTGCAAAATGTTCAATTGTAGTTGTCATCTAAAATAACATATAATAGAATGATAAAAATTCATGTACATGGATATTTAAATAAGTCAAATTATTCAACATCTAATTACCCAAAATGACTAACAAAGCATTCTTATGAAAAAATAGATGGTCTTGTGTTTGTCTCCATCCGCTGTGTTTTCTTGGAACAGCAGCACCAAAAACTGCTCTATTACATACCTTAAGATCTATCACAAACTAGATCAACATTAAAGGGGTCATATGATGCTTTTTTAAAGATCATTATTTTGTGTATTTGGTGTAACAGAATATGTTGAC